GTAAATGACATGAAAACGTTAAAAAAAGAAAACAAAAGAAAAGGTTTTAAATAATAAAAATGAACAATTATCAGTAGTGTGAAACTGACGGTTTGTAAATGTGGCATTTACAACTATTTCATTTACTACATTCATCGTCATTTTCTGGATGGATTTGGATTAACAAGAAGTTCATATTGATTTTCATTTTATTAGTGAAGAATCACAAGCTTACCGACAGTTTTTGAGTGTTAACATTGAAAAACTTAAGACTTATATTCTTTTACACAATTGGACAGTTTTTAAAAATATTAAAAGTAATGTCATTTTGTACTTAATGTACATAAACACACACACATCACTTTGATCACACTGAATTATTTAGTGTCATGTTTTCAAAACTGTATAAATAGCAGGAAAGTACACAAAGTTACAAAAAAAAAAATGTATGCACAAAAGGGTTCTGTCTCTGGTTTTTCCTTCTCTGCAGAAAAACAGAAGCAGAATAACCCTAGACACATGAGTGTATGCTGTACTAGACCAGATTTATTTCTCGGGCTAAATTGGGAGGAATCAGTCGGCGTCTGAATCCTTTCCGTTCAGGCCCAGCATGTTGGACAGACTCAGGGACAGTTTGTCGTTTTCCTCGGACCCTGTAGCTCTCAGATCCAGCACCGACTCGGGTTTCTCCACTTTGAAAGTTCCCCCTCTGACCCGGGAACCGTTTGCGGTGACGTCCACGGCCGGACCTTTGTCCATGGCTGGACCTTTGTCCATGGCCATCTTGAGCCTCTCCATGATGTCCACCTTGTTTCCCGCTTTGGAGCTCACTATTGGCAGCCGGATCCCTTTGCTCATGACGTAGTCCTTTTCCCCCGTGTCGATCTTCGATAGGCCGATGGACTCGGCCACATCCCCCAGGCCGTGGATGGTATATGCGGGGAGTCTGTGGAACTTGAACGTGGGGACTTCCATCTCTGCGTTGGACGCGTCGGTTTCAGAATCGGCGTCGCTTTCTTCCTCCTGACCCGCCTCTGGGGCCGTTATTTTAGACCCGGACAAGCCGAGCTCTGGGAGCTTGAAATGGGGAAGTTTGGAATCCACCGTTGGTGCTTTCAGGTCTACTTCGGCTCCCGTCACCCCCCCCTCTAACCTGGGTGTGCTCAGCTCCCCCGAGGCCCGGACACTGGGTATGTCTTCATACGGGCTTGACATGTCTAGTTTTGGAAGATTAAAATTCGGCATTTTGAACTCACCGAGATTGGTATCTAGATCGAGATCTGGCGCTTTCAACTGGGCATCGGGGCCTGTGACGTCAGCTTTGGGCAGGTGGATGTCCACATTTGGAGCCGATTCCAGTCCCGCTTTTAGTGGCGGGGTGTCTATCTTCGGTGCTGAGAGGTTGAGATCTCCTTTTTTCAAGCTAAGATGGGCGTTTGGCAGATCCAAACCAGGTCCCTTAACATCAGTATCGGGCAAGTTAAGGTCCACTTCGGGTCCCTTAATGTTTTGGGAAGACAGATTCAAGTCTGCTAACCTCATGTTAGTTGTGGGGCCTGCTAGCTCAACATCTGTTTTGAGATCTGACTTAATATCTATATCAGGATATTTGACACCTCCTTGAAGTTTTGGTCCAGACAGATTCAAGTCCAGGTCTCTTAGATTTGCATCAGGTGCTTTGAGGTCTACCTCAGGCAGCTTCACATCTCCATCAG